TGACTGCTTGTTCCACCTCCAAAGTTGGTAACTCATTCCATGGCTCAAACTCAAAATCCCAGCTGTTTCCAGCTGCCTGCTGGGATCTAAAATGCTTCTGACCAAGGCCTGGAACCTCTAAAAAATGTCTGAGAGACATTTTGAGTTCTGACACAGGTGAACAATCCCAGCTGTGCCAGCCTTTCTTCCCCAGAGGAATATCCTAAAACTCATCCAGTGCCACCCCAGCCATGGCAGGGACAGCCTCCATTATCCCAGAGTGCTCCAGCCTGGCCTTGGGCACTGCCAGGGATCCAGGGGAATCTGGGAATTCCATCCCAGCCCCTGCCCACCCTGCCAGGGAACAATTCCCAATTCTCCATCTCCCACCTAACCCTGTCCTTTGTCAGTTTAAAACCATTCCCCCTTGCCCTCAGGAGAAGTTCCTCTCCAGCTCTCCTGGAGCCCCTCAGGCCCTGGAAAAGGCTCTGAGGTCTCCTGGAAGCTTCTCCCCTCCAGGCTGAGCAGGAAAAAGGACACCACAACTTCCATCCTTTCATTCGGAGCAAGGGTGACACCAAATTCCAAACCAAAAAAAAAAAGAGCTGCAGGGCTCATACAGAAGAGATGCCTGGAAAACCCACAATTTCAGGATAATCCTAGAAGGTGGGAATCCAGGATCAGCAAAAGGGACTTGCAAACGCCTCAGTTTTCCCTAGGAAAGATTTGTTGTGGTAGAAAAGCAAAACCAGTTCTGCTGTCAGCCCATCCTGGAGTTCCAAACTTGCACAAACTGCCCAAATTTCCTCCCCATTTGGGCAGTTTGTTCTGTTTCGTGCCTGTGTTCAGAATCCTGGCAGTGCTGCAGAGGGGAAATTCTCCATTATCATTCCCATCATATCCAAACTCATCCATTTACTGACATTCCCCTAAATTCCCTTTTGCTCCTCCAAGTGAAGCTCCCGAAGTTTTCTTGGGGAAGGATCTCAGCAAAAAAGAAAATAACAAATTTTTACGCTCTGCTTTGGTAAATTTTACTGTTAATTACCAATGAAAAGAGATGTTTTAATGAGTTGTCAGCAATTTGGCCTCTTCTTCCACTTTTGCAAATCAAAATTTATAATTATAATTTGAAAACTAGAATTTCTAAAATGACTATTTCTATGTGTCTCAGATTTAAAGTAACCCTAACAAACAGTGGCAACAGGATCATATTAAGCCATCTCCTCTCAGTAATGGTTCTCCTGTAAAATACTTTTAAATTAATGACAATTAAAATACCTATCCATGCTGGTATTTTGCCTATGTACTACTAGAAAAATTCTTCATAAGCTCATGCAAAAAACATCTTGCCAGATGCAAATTTTTTCTACTCCCTTCTTTAAATATGAAATTTCTGCATATAGGGAAGTTGGAGGAAAATTCTGCACAGGGATTTGTTGCTTGGCTGAGGGAAACAGAGCCCTTAAAGCATCAAGTGGAGTGGGGAAAGGCTGACATAATGTATTCCACATTCTTCTGCAGCTTCCATCAGGTTGTAACTCATCATTTCTGAATGATCCAGCTGTTAGCAGAAAACTGGGATAACTGCAGGAACTTCCACATTTCTCTCCCTGCTCTGGGGAATGTTAATAAACTGCTTTCAGCCCGCCACGCCTCGCCCTGTGAGTCAGCAAAATTTGGGAAGTTATGGATGCGTTTTAAAGCTTTCAAATCTCAGGAAAAGCATCTAAAAGCAATAAGAGACACACATTGTCTGCCTGCAAACACACGTGGAAGGGCAGCATTGATTAATTCCTTCTCCTGGTTAACCTGCAGTGCAAATATTTTTAATTTTCTTGTCTCGCTTGCAGCAGCTGCCAGGACAAGAGATGGATGGGTTGGGAAGTGTTGCTGCCCTGCTGTGTTGTGAAGTGGGAAACAAAGATTTCTGCATCAACAGGGAGACGGAGCAGCAAGCCAGATGTTTTGGTTGGAATATTTGAGGCCTTAAGGTCCTGGTTGCTCATGGTCATCCCAGCCTGTGTTGGCATTCCATGGTTTTCCCTTCAAAGACCTCTCTGCTGGGAGCTGGATGTGATCAATAATCCTGGAGCAACCCCAGCACCCGGTCCCTGAAATCCAGCCCCAATTTCATCCTCCTCCAAAGCACTCATGACCCCTGGAGGGGGCACTTGGTGGCATTGCATTGATGCCTCAGGTTTGAGATTTTCTATTTTTCACATTCTGTGATGCTTTAGTGTGTGGGTCTGGGCTTCACATGATGGGATGCTGAGCTCTGTGCACAGAGCAGAGACAAAACAATTCCTGCTCCAGCTGGGCACCAAGGACAAATGATCCAAACCTCAGCCCAGGAGCACAAACAGCGTGGGCTGGAGAGAGAAAAACAAGCAGGGTGGGACTGATGGGCTGGAGCTGGAATGGGACGATGAACTCCAAGGTGCCAATGGAGCAGAACTGATCCCAGGGAGAGCCCCGGGAGCGCTCGTGCATTTTGGGACCATTTTGGGTCATCTGGGTGCAGCCCTGGCTGGGCTCTGGTGCTGCCCAAGGTGGATCCATGGAGGAGATCCTTGACTAAATCCCTGCTTTATTCTCTGCTCCAGCTCAGCCTTCCCAAGCCATCAGTGTCACAAACCCCTGCCAGCCTTGTCCCCTCACCGTGCCAGAGCCAAAACTCTTTGCTGCTGAGCTCTGGCAGCTCGGGCTGGCCGGGATGTTTGGATTGAAGCTCTGTGTGAGGACAGGAAAGGTTCAAAGCCCTCAAGGCCTGCGGGAAGTTCTGGAGCTGCTGTCCATCCTCCTCCCCCCGAGTGCTGGGGCTGCTCTGGGTGCCAGCATAGAAGGAAGATCTAAAAGCTCTCAGAGAGTGCCCAAGGGAGGAACACGAGGATGGTGAAGGACCTGGAGGGGTCACACAAGGAGAGGACACCTGGAATGTGCAGCTGGAGCAGAGGAAGCTGAGGGGAAGTTCAGGGGCTGCAGCTCCAACCGAGGCCACCTCTGATCTGTGACCTGACAGGACCCAGGGAGCTCCTGGAGCTGCTGTTTAGGTTGGATTTTGGGAGAAAGTTCTTCCCCCAGAGGGTGCTGGGCACTGCCCAGGTGTAGACAGGCTTAGCAGCTGGTCTGCAGAGCAAACAACTAAGCTAGCAGCAGAAGAAATTAATAAAATGTGAGTTTATCCATAGCAAAATAAAAACCAAGGCTGTTAACATAGGAACTGATAAAATAAATGCACAAGGGATATTAGCTTAGTGAACAACATCCATACCTTAATAATTTGCTGTAGACTCTTACCAATTAATTATTAATATTAATTACTTTATAGCAGTAAAATACAGTAAGCTTTTACTCTGTCCAGTAAAGATAATGAGCTGTTTTAATATAACTAATAACTTAAGATCACGCTTTGTTAAGGGTATAAAACTTGAAAACGCCTTGTAATAAAGTAATGTTGAGTTTTGTGTTTTTTTCCTAGGGTCAGGGTTGTGATTAAATGTGTGAGATGGCATTTGGAATTTTTTGTTTGGATTTAGATGTTTATTCGTTTTTGTCTGTATTACAGTTTGTAAGTTGTGAGTTTTACTGTGCTTCACACTGACAACCTACAAAATTGAGATTTTTTTCTTTTCTATGAGGAATTTTAAGGATAAATTGTTTAATTAAGAAATGATACTTAGATTATTTTTACTTTTAACTTAATCAGCTACTTGTGGTCAGCAGTGGGGACTTTTTTATCCAATTACACAAAACCACCCAAACCCATGGAAAAGGAGGTGAAGGAGAAAGTGAAGGAGGAGGAGGAGGAGGAAGAGGAGGAGTAGAACTAAGATTTTAGGTGTGGAGTTTGAATAGGAATTTAATAGAATACCACAGCGTAGAAAACTTAAAGTTTTAAAATATAGTAATATATATAAAAAAAAATAGAGGTTTGAGAGCAGAGACTAGTCCTTCTTCTTCACCTTCTTCTCCATAAATTTAAGTAGTATTGAGGAATTAAATAAAAAAGACCACATTGCAGACCACAAGTAATTAGTTATTGGGTTAAAAGTAAAAATCATTTAAATGTCATTTCTTAATTAGGCAGTTTATCCTTAAAAGACCTTGTAGAGAAAAAAATACAGCTCCATTGTTAGTGTATTAAAGCAGTGTAAAACTCAGGGTTTGTAGGACAATAATATCAATAAAAACTAATAAATATCAAAGTCCAAACAAGGAAAACCATCTCATACATTTAATCCCAACCCTAAAAAAAAAATGTAAAAAAAAATTGCTATGAAATCCAAACTTCTGGAATCATGTGATTATTTGAATATTTCCCTGTCTTTTAGGGAAACAAATTAGCTGCACTCTGTGTTTGAAGCTGTGCCTTGTTCTACATGAAACATGAGGACAACCAGGGCAAACTTTAAAAATTAAAATATAATAATTTAAGTATTTTTATGCTTTATAAATAATATGGGGTTTGTTTTTCCCAATACTGATTTATCTGAAGGAAAACAATGTGACAGTGGGGACTGTGTAAAGAAACACACTGTGTGCTTTTTTGCAAAGCAATAATTTGCATTTCCCTGAGAAATAAATAAAGAGGCGGCACCCAAATGTACAGAAACTCTAAAACCAGAAGTCAAAAATAATCTGTGCTCTGAGTTATTTAATCCCAGTATCAGAATATCACAAAGCACAGGTATTGTGGATATTTGTGATTTTTTTCCTCTCGAAACAGATCTTACCCAGCTACAGCTGCTGGACTAAAAATGGAGATAAATATCTGAGCTTTGTCTGAGGGAAATATCTTGAGCAAGGCAAGAACTGTGAGCCAAGCTGGAAATTTGGGGTATAAAAGTCTGTGTCTGCAGTGAAATATTGATTTTATGCCTAAGCAACACCCCAGATTGCAGAAATTTATAAGATAATACAGTTCTAAAAGGAAATTTTTGATTCCACCAAGTGACTTGATGATTCAGGCATGTTTAAAAAGATTTAAAAGAGAGAAAATCAAACTGAAGTGACAAAAAATGCTATTAAAATAGTGTGGTTTCCTGTTGTTTTTTGTTTTTATTTTTAATCAAGGTACTTTCACTTCACTGCTCTTTAAGTTATTTGTAGAACTCCATGTTTGACTTAAATATTGAAAATATCTACTCAGATACAGGCAGGAGTTGCCTCATTCCTGTCATTTATTCACTGGATTAAATAAAAAACTTGCTTTGGTTATTGCAGGCCAGGTAGTTTCAGGTTATACCCCAAGATTTTAATGGGGTAAATCCCATTAAAATGGGATTAATGGATAAATCCCTGCAGGAAAGGGAATTACTGGCACAGGAAAGACAACAGTAAATAAATATTTGTTGATTCCATGCATTTTAGAAAGATTTAGCTGTAGATTATGGATATTTTTATACACACTCTCCAGAACTGAGATAAAATATAATAATCCCTGAACAGAACAGAATTCCTTTATTTATCTCCTCCAGGGCTGGGAATCCAAAGGAGATGTTGTTGCTTTGAGGTTTTTAGCATTTAATTTCCTCTGCCACACAAAATTTGATACAAAACACACATAAATGGACCAAAATTGAAAATAATTTTCCTTATTCTGACCCTAAATTTCCTTATCCATGTAGGATGGGGCAAAGGAAGCTGCAGAGAATGAGGGATTGATCTGGGAAGAATGGGACAATTATGGAATTAATTATTTGGTTTTGACACACAAATTAATCCCAGTCAGTTGCTCCTGGCTTTAAATCTGTAAAAATCTCCAGTAATGGATTGAAAAATGTTTAAATTTTAAGGAAAACAGGAGGATGCTGCCATTGCCAAGCCAGCAGGTATAAAAATATCTCACTACTAATTCTGGGTATCAGCAAACCTCATGAAAACTCTTGGATTTCACAGAATTATTGAGGCTGGGAGAGACTTTAAAGATTATCCAGTCCCACCATGAAAATCACCTTTAAATCATTTATATCAGGGGTGTCTCCTCTGTTTTTCAGTAAGTTGGGAAAAGGGAGCAAAATGCTGATTTTTAAAAATATCAATATTTTTTAAAAAATTCTAACAGAGGGATGAACAAAATATGAAATAATCATATAGAGGAGTTTGAGAAAAATAAGAGTTACTTTTCTAAACCACCAAGGGAGGGTTTTTTTCCCTGACAATCTGTTTGGGGAGGGAGAAAAGAGAAGGAGGCTGAGATAATTCTTGCATTTCCAGCATTTGGAGCAGTCCAGGTGCTCCCAGGCACATCAACATTCCCTGAATTCCGAATTCTCAGTTCTGCCCTGATGGAATCACAGAGGCCAGAACCAAGCCCAGGCACCAAAACTGCAAAAAAAACCCCATAATAATCCTGAACAAAATTGTCACAAGAACCCAAAATTCCTCTTGTGTTTTAAGAGCTGTGCTTGGAAAAGTTTGACAAAAACTGGCAGTTTAAATCAATAAATCCAGATAAATCAATTATGAAATACAAGTGGGAGCTCCATTGTGGTGGAGCCAGACTGGTTCTGATCTTTGAAATTCAAAAGAATTGCCCCAAGGAAGCACAAACTAAAGAAATGAGAATATTTTGTCGTTTCTGACACAGAAATTGCAACACTTGAGGTGACAGCTTCCCACACAAAGGGTGGGGTCAGTATTTCTGTGGGTGACAGCAGAAGGGGACATGATTTCCCACAAAAAGTTGCTTTTTAAATGAGATTTTCTAAACCCAAGGCCTTTACCAAACCCATTTCTGCTCTGCCTACAGTGGAGAATATTAACTCTGGGGGTTTTTTTTTGTCCAATTTTAATTAAACAGTTGTTTTAAAATATTTAAAATATTTTTCCATTTCACAATTAGCTGATGTTTTGTTAGTTTTTTCATTGTTCAGTTGAGTGTTCCTTATTCCCTGTAAGAACATAAAATCCTGGGTCAAGTTTTGAGTTCCTGGTGCTCCCTTATTTGGGCTTCAAACAGGAGAAATAGGAATAGAAATAGAAATGGAAATGGAAATAGAAATAGAAATGGAAATGGAAATGGAAATGGAAATGGAAATGGAAATGGAAGTGGAAGTGGAAATGGAAGTGGAAATAGAAATAGAAATAGAAATAGAAATAGAAATAGAAATAGAAATAGAAATAGAAATAGAAATGGAAGTGGAAGTGGAAATGGAAATGGAAATAGAAAAATATAAAATTATAAAATAGAATTATGAATACTATAACTATAAATATAACCACAAAATATAAATATATAAGTGCAAAATCAATAAATATAAATATATATATATAAATAAAAATACGGGTTCATTGAATGCTTTGGGTTGCAATTTATCACATTTTAGCCTGGAATTGTTGTTTGTTTTTTTTTTTAATTATTTTTCCACTGTGCTTTAATGGCAGATCTCAGAAATACCTTGCAGGAGGTGAGGGTGAAGAGGCTGGTGGGCAGTGAGGACAGCAGTCATCTCATCGTGATCCGAGGGGTGGATGTACTCATAAATGCTGTTTCCAGTGAGCTCCACCTGGGAAAAAACCATGGAATAAAAGCAGCTGGATCCTTTTCTGCCCTCAAACCCTCCAGTTTTCAAACATGGGCTGGGTGTATCAAAAGCATCTTCCAAATCACAGCCATTAATCCCAATTAATTCTTTCCTCAGCAGTGATTGATGCCAGCGAGGTTTTTGTGGGAATTTCTGGTGTTGCACCAGAGACAGAAGAGCTCCTGTTAGGGCTGGGAACGAAGTGATAAATTAGAGCAGCTGGAGAAATGTTAAATTGCCACAAACGGGAGGAAAACTC